AGATTATCAGGGGTAGAAAGTCAAGGACAAACTGGAGAATTTCTCAAGGCTTAAAAAAAAAAATTGTAATCTGAAAGGTACCCAGCTAGTATTTGTTCTCCTTCAAGGGACTTTCGTATTTTTTGTTTATATTACGGTTTGAAGCAAAATCCCCAAACGTTTTCACTTAGCAAAGTTCCCAACAGATTAGTAATCTATTCACACTACACACTTTAATCTTAATGGCACAGGGTGGTTTCAGAGATGTATGAAGATAACCATATATCCCCCCTTTTTCCTCTTTAACTTATCACTGTTATCCACAGCTCTACCGATTAAATCTGTTGATCATGAATGGGAAGGATAAAAGGAAAAAACAAAGCAAGGTGTGCGTGCCCTGTTGAAAAAAAACCAGCAGATTCACAGGGGGAGCACAGCAGCGAGGCGTTTAACAACACGGACTGACAATGGTTTCCACACAAGGAAATCTGAATTCCACTTTGGCCTGCTACGGCAACAGAACAACACATCCAATATCTGGAAGATAGGAAACATTCATCATTCATGGCTGCAATACCAGAAGACACCCAGGAGATTCTAGTCTCCCTACCGTCTGCTCTACAGATATGGTCCAATCGTGTGTTGCAAGGTCACACCAAGAAACAAACTGCACAGTATTTCTTCAGACCCAGCCAACTTCTTTCTTTCACTTTTTAACCCTATGCCTAATAAGCCCTATCCAGGTTTTCTGTAAGTAAGAAATATTTTGCAGAAAAGATAAAAATGTACTTTTGTGTTACTACAATCGTACTGCATTTTCACTGCCAAATCTGACACGCATAAGAAGAAGGACTTCACAGTGATACGCACAAGTGCATTGACTGTGAATGGCTAAGGAGCCTAGTCTCCACAGCATTAACAAACTGCATGCTTGCAGTTTGAACAGCATACAGCTCAGATCTGAAAACTTCTATGCATACACTGAAATGACAGGTACACTCGCGTAAATCATAATGAGAGACGTATCAGCAGCAAAACCATTTCCCTGTCTGAGGCGTGTAACTCTGAGCATGTGCTCTGAGAGTCACGGGGAATTCCACAGTTAATTTTAGCACTTCTGCTTTCTGAGTAAAGCAAACCCACAGGTGGGGTCACTCCAGATTAGAAATCACTCCCAGAAGCTTTATCCTAAGAACAATAGTGAGAATCTCTTCCCTGTGTTTGGTGCATTTACCTGCAAAGTTACCGAGGCTAAATTCTCAAGGTTTTTGTGCCTGCAAGTAGTGACCAATAAACCTGAAATGATTAAACTACATTATGAAGCATACATTCATCCAAATGGCATAATTATACTAGTCTGCTGTAAGCATGGAACATACAAGAATGGAAATGTTTGGTTTTATTTACAATTATACTTCCTAAACAATTTGTTTTCACAAATATGCACTTATCAAACGAAACAAAACAAGTCACAATATGAGGCTTAATAATAACTGTGAAGTTGGTGGGTACATTAAAAGACATGAGCAAAAACTGCTTCATCCTTGGTTTTCATCCAAGTTGATCTCACACTTTATCCTGTACAAACAGCAGATCAGGCAGAGAAATTACTTTGAGTTCAAGGGTAAATGTATGGAGGGCAGTTAGTACAAACCTATAGTGCAACTTAGCAAGGACACAAGGGCAAAAACCTAAACTCTCAAGAACAGGGCAACGCGGTCTTTAACGTTGAAGGACTTAAGTCTTCAGTTTAAAGTCTCACATGGGGGACGTAGTGCTCCCATCACCATATTGTGACATCGACTAAACACAGCACAGGTCCAGACAGACAAGCGCCACCTGCTGGTCACCAACACCATTTCCAGCGGCATACTGTTTTGTTTTCCTATAAGTCTCCCATCTCACTACTAAACATTGTCTAATATGTTCGAAATATCAAGTTCTCCTAATTCTTTGGTCAATACTACCACAACTTAAATGACAAGCCCCTCTGAGGTACTGCAAATTTTAAATATATTTTAAAAATCTCAAAACACTTCTTTCCTTTTGAAGATGCAGATAAAACATGAATGGTTCTTTGGTCACTATGACTTTCTGCTTCCTAACTAACCAGACATTAAAAAAAGGAAGTAACAGGCTCAATTTCCTGTTGTTGCCCAATAAGAGGTCTCTCTTCACATCTTCCTCCCAGCCCACCCCCAGATCATTAATTGCTACCAGCACATTTTGATAGTATTTCCCCTTAAAGGGTTTTGCCCCAATGTGCAGATGTTCTCTGGACTTCCCTAACCCCACAGTTTCATGCTTCCCTATGACCAATTTCAGTGCACTGCCTAGCACCTAGTAGTGTAAAAAGTGGTGAATTTTGTGTTAGCTAGAAGCAGCTGCAAAAGTCCTGCAAACAGCACTGCTCAAATATTCATGAATCTAGAGATGACTGCTTTCTCACTCACCCCCTGCTCATAACCTTTTCACTTCTCTAAAGAACTGAGACCTTGAACACCTTACTCCTCAGAAAACAAGTTTCCTGGGTTACATGTTCATTCTTGTAGTGTAGTTTAAAGCAAACAGAACTTTCAGAGCAAACAATTGCAATACCTCTTAAAAACCCCTGTCTTTACTACGGTTTACTACTCAGCTTCACTATCCCATAACTTTCCTTGCTTGTCTTCCTCTGCAGTTTCACCTCATTAGACTCCCCTGACATTTTTTACATAAAAACACCTTCAGGCACATGTGCTCCAATCAAACAGTCTCAACTAATTTAAAATAAATTACAAATATTCTTATGATATGACAGAAAATGTTGAGGTACAGTTCTGAAAATCAGAACTATGTTGGAGATGTTTGATAATCTCCTACCTTAATATCAAAAGGTATATTTTTTCATAAATCATCACACCTCAAAGAGCTGTAGTCAGACCTCAGCCACAGGGTCACATGATTGACTGCCATTAACAAACAGTCCCCCTCAGTGTGAGTGGCAACAGACAAAAAAGCACATCCGATATTAAAATAGAGAAGTGGGTGACATTTAATGCTTTGTTTCTTCATGTCATATTTAAACACACTGCAAAAACTACCTCAAAACATGGTTTTCGAACTTATTGAGAAATGCCTACAATTTCCTCTAGGAGAGCGGTATAAACAGAAAGCCATATAAAAACAACATTATCCTATTCCCGTTACAAAGCAATTTCAAAATGGGAAAACTGTGAATAATAATACACGGGCCCTATTAAAAAAAATATACACCAAAATACATTCAGGTTTCATTTGTGCTGCCTTCTGGAGCTCGATATTCTGGTTCAAACTGTATTTCCTACTGTCCTAGCAGACCCATTTTGTAACACTTCAAGGAGGAAGCCTCATTATCTATGTCATCATTATTATTTAACTTAGGTACAGAACTCAGTTACAGCAAACTTTAAATTGTAATCTCCAGTTCCAGGCTCAATACCTTAGCTAATGAGTAATCAGAATAAATTTATCAAAAGGGAAGCTACCATGTAGTTTCACATTTAGAACATGGATTGAGTTTGTGGGCTGAAGTTCTGATTTATATGAGGCTTTATTTTGCCTGCATTTCGGATCATTATCAAACTGAAAAACAATCTCTTAACTTGTGAGCCCCCACCTTCAGATAGTACCCAGTGCTATCCTCCATTTAAGTAGTGTTATGTTTACATAAACATTTTTTAGCAACGAAAAATGTGACTTTGTCACTTTGTGGCAAAACAGCAGAAAAATAATTTTCTGTTCCTTAAACTTCATGATAATTTATGCTTTTGCTTGATATTTGAAAACAATGGAACCAAATGAGAATGACACAGAGACAGACGAGCAATGCAAAATTGTGGTTCACAGAAACAGTGTGTAGGAATTTACGGGTTTAAATTCATGGATTGTTTCCAAAACCCCCAAAAAACTGCTGTTCCTCGTAGTTTCCAAAAACTCAAACACTTCCCTAAATGACTACACAAAACTGGTATCATAACAGCAGTATAATAGCAATGGGGAATTCACACCTCTTCTGGAAAATATGACATTAATTACAAAGCTGAAACTAAAGTCCTGTAATTTTGCGTCAAGAAAAAAAGTACAAATATTAGTAGAAATAGGGGCTTCAGAGGAAAAAAACACTTTTTTTTTCCACAGGCAGTAGGGACTTTCGAGTGAGAGCAAACTTTGTAACAGCAAGCACTGCATATGGAAATTGCAATTACTTTTCGCACAGGCACTAAACACGAAAATCGGCTCTTCAGTGTGCTTTTTTGCATTTAAAACAAAAATATCACATTGACCTTAAAGTATGTGTCATCATAGTTTACAAAGATTCCTTGTCCATTCTGAGCTCCTGTACCAGGAATGCTCATAAATCAGATCAAGAGGTACTCAAGCCAAAATAAACGAATAATCTCTCTTTGAAGACAAAATAGTAATTATTCTTTGAAATCCACATTTCATCAAGATCCAAACTCCTTACGAGGGATGGGTTAGTAACGTAAAACGATCTAGCTGCGTTGCTGATACTCCCGACACCGTTTGTGTCACAACCAGTATCACAGGATAAAAAAGTATTGAGCCTTTTGATCATTTTCCACGCTTGCAACGACAGTATTTGACTTACAACATCCACACTTACCAACAACCACGCAAAGCTCTCGCATATGCAAATGTTACCAGAAAGCTTTTGTAACAACCAACGCTTTTCTTTCGAATCGCTAGTATCACCTTACAACGATGCCTTATCGCGTTTTTTCTCTCTCCACTGCGAATCACTACCTCTTTTTTTTCTTCAAAATGGAGTAATGTAAATATAGTTCATTTGAAGGTGGGCTACACGCTCATGAGATTTTGGATAGAGATAGCTTTTTGCATGCTTTAAACATACAAAAAACAATAAACGACAACGGCTCATGTACATGTTAAATGATGCATTTTATGTGCTATTGTCAGTAATTATAATTATTTGGTCTCTTAGTGGAAAGCCGACAAAAACAGCAAAAACAAAAACATACGTGTCTCCGTCTTCGCTGATGGTAGTTAAAAATGTTATTTCCTGTTCGTTGTACTCTGTAGCCTCTGTGTTTTCTGTTTCTTCTTGCTCAGAAATATTGCAATCCTGAAACATGTCCTTGAGACTCTCAACTGTGAGAGAGGACGAGCCGTAGGAAGAGTCCAGCCTGTCCTCAGTTACATTGTCCAACTTATCCCTGTCTTTCTTGTTGTCACTGCTCGATTCCTGCGATGTCCTTTTGATGTTTTGATGATCCTCTTGGTTTATGGATCGGAAGGAGTCGATTCCAAAACCCGAGTCGCACTGGCTGTCTTCAGGAGGATCTTCTGCCTTTTTCCTTTCGTCCGGCGTATTGGCCATGGTGTACCAACAGGAAACTTTTTTTTAATAACTTACAAAACACCAAATAGGAGGTATGCGCTGTCGAGCCAGATACACGCTTTCGCTCCTGAAATATCTGCCGATTCCTTTTTAAATAACTCGATTAAGGTGTTGAGTTTCATGCCACCCCGCTCTGCTCTTTTTATCTCAAGCCCAAAATAAAAATGCCTTTCAGTTATTTTCAGAGTTGTTTACATTTCAAGAAAAGACGATGAAAAAAGGCCACAATTATCTTAACTGTTTCAATTTAAAAAGTAGATATCAAACAGCAACGAGCTTCATCAAACGCCATCAAAAACCACAGAATTAAACTTGTGACTGAACTAGCGTTTACAGCTGAATCCCGAGCTTGTAAATCGCAAGCGAGCTATGAGACCACAGATCACTCGAGCAAGTCTGATAAGGGGAGGGACGGACTGACTGCCGTCAATCAAACGAGGTTGTGCTGAAAAAATGCTGGGAATCCCCGGAGGGAGGGGCTAGATTTCAATCTGTTTAAGAAAGAACTTAACACAATGCCTCAAGATGAGGACGTCTAAAGTTCTGCATAAATCTGCATAAATGAAAGGGTGTAGGGAGCCAAGGTCATGCATGTTTTTGGATTGAGAATTAGTTAATAAATAGACAAGAGAGTACAAAATGTAAGCAGCAGAGTAAAATAGGAATCTATTTCAGTAAGGCCTCTTTTCTTAATTTATATTAATGTTTTATATTCTGATGCAGTTAACTAGTCAAATTAGTAATTGCATTGCATAAGTAACTAATTGTAAAATTATGACACTGAAGAGGAGAGACCTAACAGAGTATCAGCTGTGATAGAAAAGTAGAGAAAAAGTAGAGGTTATCAGTTACTGAAAAGTAAAAAGATAGTCTTCTTCAGTGTGGGGAATGTAGGAGAGAGCAGAGCTATGAGGACAAAGAAAATAAAAGACTTTGTGAGAATTGTAAGGAGGATATGAGAAAGACAGTCCACAGAAATTTAAATCTGGTACACAGAAATGGAATTATTAGAGGAGAGTTCTAGGAGAAGTGTGGGAGAGATTGAGAAAGAAATGAATCATTCATGGAGAGCTTGGGGGAAGGTGTTGACCCAGTTAGAGGACAATTTTGGCTTCTGAAGTTGTTCTCAGGTAGGAGAATGTGAATCAAGGTGATCCCTGTGAAAGTATGCAAACAGAAAGCTCAGTGTAGACATGGCTGGAAGAGATAAAATGATGTTCCGAGAGTTGCTTTTGCCTCAGGTGGATGCCCTGTCAATGTCTAAGGGAATTCAAACAGGATTGCCAAGTAGCTCGTAGGTCCTGAGATTGATTCTGGATTGGAGCACTTTCTTTGTAGATTTTGCAGGTTCTTCTCATGTTCATATGGTTTCAGTTTCTTCCAACCTTCCAAAGGACATGCTTGCTAATTTATCTGGTGGCTCTAAATTGTGCTTGTGTCCTTGTCTGTGTGTCCTGCAATGGACTGGCATCCTGTCCCTGTTATAGTCCCATCTTTCAAAAAAGGCTCCGCAGCCTTAACAGCACTAACAGCACTAACAGGAATAAACAGATTTCTGATAATGGGTGTCACATTGTTAGAAAAATGTTGTTGCTTTAGGATCAGTACAGAGAAGTTCAACCAGACACATTCCATAGCTTACAGGAATGTCATATAGTGACAGGCTGAAAGAACCGAATATTTTTAGTCCTGAACAGAGAAGACTGTGAGGGGACCTGATTCATGCATTTAAAATTAACATTGGCATCAACTGTGTCAACCCAAGGGCCTCCTTCAGAGTGAGCAGTTAAATAAGAAGAAATAACAGGACACACGTGAAAACTATGGAAATAAGACTTATTTTTTTTAACTGCATGGGATCTGAATCAAGCATCTCAGCCATGGTTTTGTTTTGTTAACCAATTCTCTAAATTATTTAAAGAAATATATGGAAGAGACCCTCATAAGACAAGGATGATAGATGAGATCACTTGCTTCCTAAAAAAGAAAAATGCTAGATAGGCCAAGTGGGATTCTCTCATTGCTAACCTCACATTCAGGGATGTGCAGAGTTGGGTGGCTACAGTGGCTCAAGCCCCTGCCTCTTTGTCCCCATTGGCCCAAGTGCCCTTTTTTGCTTTTAGAAAAAAAGTCCAACCAATTAAATTTTGTTTTGCCACTTGACGATTCTGCTTCTGTATTTACTACGAATCTCCCATTGGGAAAACAAAATGTTGGACCTAATTGATCTCATCCGAGCCTCCTGTTTGTTGTAAAAAAGGCAGCGATAAGCAATGTAGGCTACTACACCTGTGGAGGCCATGTTAAACATTTTTGAATGGAGAGAAGATGCACAGATTTTTCAGAAGGACTGTACAGGAATAACACACCAAGGGTGTCGTATTGAGCACTTTGTGTTTAAGAAAAACTATTTTCATTCACCTCCTCTAAGTTTGCAAACCGTCGAACTCGAAGTAATAAACAGAGAAAGAATTTAGGGAGGCAGCTAAAGGGAGTACATCGCTTCATAACTGGGTCACAACTAACAGCAGACGAACAGGTAAATGGTCATCAAAAAAGCCAGTTCTTAAGGCTACATTCTACTATATGTACGCCTCAATAACAGAAGAGTCTTGCTTCACAAGAATGATCACATCGGTAAATGTTGTACGACTTAAGTTTTGATGAATATCAAAACTGCCTGTAGCCTATATACAAAAAATATACAGGCTATATGAATAGTAAATCCATTATCATTTTTGGATATCTCTGCCAAGTTGTTTTTTAGGACACGACCAATAATAATTCTATTGGAATTCAATTTATAGCTTTGATGTAGTTATAAAAATTGATGTTGATGTATAAAATAATGTTTAAACCTTTAGTGGTGTATATTGAGCAATTTCAAGAGATATCCAGTACATTATAATAGTAATGATATTAATAATCCGTTTGGGTCACATCCAAAGAAACACAGAAATACTGATTTGTATCCAGGATACTCTGATGTAACAAATCCTGTCCCAGAAAGTGCCCCTTCTCCCCTTTTGAGCCACTGCCCACCAAAAGGTCTTTGTGCTTCTCTGCTTACATTCTTAGTAATGATTATAGTTAAACAAAACCTAGATTTTAAGAGCAACAGTTGTATCTCAATGTTATAGCTTTTTGTGTTGGGAGCAGAAATCCAGTCATTATGAAGTAAAAAAAATTGTGACAGGTGTTGTATCCAGTTCAGTATCGCCTGGAAATCTGCATCCTCCTCCTAAATGCGCACACACTGTTATCTCAGGGAATAACAATTATTCCCCTCTCTTGTGTAAAAAAGACTTTAGTTTTCATTTGGTGGCTGTAATTTTTTTTATCTTTAATCCCCAGAAAATGATATAAACACACACAACCAACGGGGTCCTTCTTATCCATACTGTAATAAACAAAGGCACAAATGTGCACAAAGGAACTGCCTGTCTCATTAAGTATCCTGGAATGTTTTGTGCAACTAGAGCACATAACAGAGGGAGGATAAGACTTTATAGGTGATACTGAAGTGGATGTGACAGCAGATTTTAAATAGAGAGGAGCTCAGCTTGTCAATTATCTGGGAGTGAAATAACCGACAGCTGACTCCTCTTAGTTAAATGCTCAAGCTGGCTGCCTGTCACAAATACATTTTGCAGTAATGTATTTTTTTAAGTGCTGTCTCTCCTTTTATTTAGCCCATGTAGTATACAAGCCCCTCCAATCAGACCTCCAAAACAGCATGGCTACACTATAAGAGCACAAATAAGTGTCGCTTTGTAAATATATGTCATTTAGGTAGCATTTTACTAACATTTATGAAGCTAAGAAAAGGCTTTAGATTAGGTAGAATAAGGTCCTTATTTTCCTGTGCGCCTACAACCCACACAAAGGGTGAGTTAGACCGGTGCTCAATAAATCATAATTTCTGTCATTGCCATCTTGTGGACAAATGTAATAATGCACTTCAAAGACAATAAACCTATTTTCTTACAATGATAGATAGATACTTTATTGATCCCGTGAGGGAAATTGCAGTGCAACAGCAGCTTGACACACACAACACAGCCACAGTGTAACGAATTATATACTAATAGTACAA